TCTCTCTCTCTCTGCATTCTCTCTCTCTCTCTCTCTCTCTCTCTCTCTCTCTCTCTCTCTCGCAATTGAGCTGCGCTCGAGATTATTTAACGAGAGAACGTCAAATGTCAATCGCTATTTATAAATGTGCACTTCGTTCCTGCGCGCTGTTTCTTTGCTTTCCCTTTCATGCCACCACTCGTTATGCGCTTGTTCTTCCTTTTCCTATGCGTTCCGTGTTGCAGCTGATGCATCTATCCTGTCCGCATTACTCGATTTGTCCATCGAGAGGGTGTCATCGTTATCATACGTCGATGGCGTCTGCTCTGCTGTATCTGAGTACTATAATGTGCGTGGAATAAAATAAAAAGAATACATCGGCTATATTTCTTTCATGTGAAATGTATCTCTTGTCAGGTCACTGCCGCGGGCGTGGTCTTGGGGTCGAGTCGAGTCTCGCTGTTCGTTTTTCGTCTCTTAAAATCTCATAAGCGCAGCTCAATTGCGTGTATTGACGGTCGTGATGACATCGGCGAAGGGGGGGGGGAGCGGGGGCGAAAACCATTTATTTATTTATTTTTAAATTTTGCTGCATTGTGCGTTCGTTTCTCGAAGAGGAAGACGGCTGATGGTTGTTTTCCCGCCCTTATCCTTCTCTTCCCGCCCTCTGCCCTGCTCTTCCCGCGCTCTCCCCTCCCCTCCCTTTCCTTTCCCGCCCTCCTTCCCGCCCTTTTTTTTTCCCGCGCCCTCTCTTAGATTTGTGGTTCGCTTTACTTTGTTAGGAAAATGGGGGACGTACCCAACAGCCTAGCTCAGTCGGTATACCCCTGAACTGTTGAAATACAGACCAGGTGCTGTGTTCGAATCCAGATGATGGAACTCGATGAGAAAAATCAACTACTAATGAATTGCCAGGGGCCGGGCACCTGAATGATAATATGTCAAGGCCGTCGCCCTTTTTATAATAATAAGAAGAAAAGGAAAAAAAAAAAATTGGGGGACGTAGGGACATCCGTTAAAATTGGAACGATACAGAGAAGATTAGCATGGCCCCTTCGCAATCAAGGATGACACGCAGAAATCGAGAAATGGTCCAAATTTTTAAAAAGAAAAAAAAATATGAATTTTAGATTAATGGGGGACGTAGTGGTTACAAATATGAATTTTAGATTGAAAAAAAGAGGAGTTAACAAGCTGCCTTCTCCTCATCTGGGGTCTAGTCCCACCTACAGCGTTGAGTTTTCTCAACGCTGAGCTTTTTATCACGTGTGGCAATGGTGGGACGGAGCTCTGCCGTTGATGTATTGCGAATCTAACGGTACCAAAATACAGGAGAATAACCTATTAGATTTAGTCATTTTGTAGAATTTTTTTTTGACGTGAAATCCGTTTTGTAGTATGCGTTGGCCCTTTTGGTTTGGGCGGGAAGCCATTTGCCGTTGAGAAAACTACCCTACCGAGGGTAGGGTACATTTCTCAACTGCAGTGCCTTTCCTTTTTTTTGTTTGTCTAGACCTCATTGCATCCTGAAAGGGAGGAACTCTGACAGCTGTGTTTGGCTGTCTGGCATCAAACTCGTTTCCTTCTTTGGGCAATGAATGCATTTGGCCATCCACGTCGTCCCTGTCCAGTTTACAAATGGTGACCTCCTGTCCTCTCACCACGGGGAGTATCCTTTTTTCATGGAGACGTGCACTCCAACTGTTACAGACATGTTTCATTTCTCCCAGTTACGTTATAAAAAATAAGGAGAAAAGCTGTTTCTAACGTTTTTTTCAGTTTTTTTATTTGTTGTTTCGAATTTATTAATGTCGACATGGCGTCACACCCTTGAGATTTCTAAACTCAACAACCGTAGGTGGGACCAGACCCCTGGGGCCTGGACCCACTAGCGAAGTATTCTACGACATGGGACACAGTTTTATGTTTTTTTGGAAAATATAAAGTGATTTTTTATTTGCATGAATGGATCGTTTTCTGATTTAAACCACCAGTACCTCACTCAGCTATCAAGTCCGAAGCTCGGACTACCGGTAGTCCGATAATTCCCGAGCCTCGGACTTTATGGCCGACCGTAGGACAACCGGTAGCACATTACAGAAACAAAAAAAAACAAAAAAAAACAAAAAAAAACAAAAAAAAAACAAAAAAAAACAAAAATGACACATTCAACGTTCAGCAGAAGAAAAAAACGAAAAGAAACGAAATCAGACGTGCCCTATGAGAATGAATCTTCCCCGACAAAGAGGAAGATTCATACTCGTGACGCCCTCTCTCGTGACGCCCTCTCTCTCTCTCTCTCTCTCTCTCTCTCTCTCTAACACGGTTGAATCTTCCGCGTTATTGCGGAGAGAGAGAGAGAGAGAGAGAGAGAGAGAGAGAGAGAGAGAGAGAGAGAGAGAGAGAGAGGGCCTCGGTGCACTACTCTCGAAAAGTGCGAAGTGAGAATGAATCTTCTGCAAGAACATGGGAAGATGTGCCACCATATTTTTTGTCTTTCGTGCAGGTGCTAATGACCGTTCTCTCTCTCTCTCTCTCTCTCTCTCTCTCTCTCTCTCTCTCTTTTTCCCCCCGCCTCACCCGTTTTTTTTTCTTTCTTTGTTTGTTCCGATTTTGTTTTTTTGTTTTTTCCGTTTTTGTGTCCGAGTCCTCCGCGCTACCGGTCGTGGCAAGGTGGATGCCCCTTCGGACGCGGCGCGTATACGGGAAGGCCCCGCGTCCGATAGGATGAGCATTTATGCAGCGGAAGTCTGATAAACGAACTGACTCACATAGACTGACCTACATGGCATCACTCCACACACATACAATCATGAGATGGTGGGGTCTGGGTCATTCATAGACGATACCCAGATCCCGTACACACATACACAGATGAAAGGTGGGAGGGGAGACGAAGGAGGTAGGAGGTAGATCACACCGATAGGTCACAAAGATAGAGTCTGGTAGGTTTCCGAAATGGTAGTCCAAAATGTCATATAACAAGATCAAAATGTCGAGGACCAAAGGTCACCAATGTCGGAGATAACAGAGTCCAGATGTAATCGGTGTCCAACTGTGATGCAACCGAGTATCAACCTCAACAATCTCCAAGTCTCCAATCAGGTAAGTACCACAGTCTCGTATCACCGAAATCCAACTCTGATCTCTGTCCAACTGGATAGTCTCCAATCAGGTAAGTACCACAGTCTCGTATCACCGAAATCCAACTCTGATCTCTGTCCAACTGGATAGTCTCCAATCTGAAGAAGAAGAAGAAGAAGAAGAAGAAGAAGAAGAAGGAGGAGGAAGAGGAGAGAGAGAGAGAGGGGACTGGCGAGGGAGAGGAGGAGAGACCCTCCAAGCTCTCGATACCTCAGGCGGTGATAACCGCCGTGCAAGCTCAGTCGCCCGCTGCTGCTCCGCTCGCTGTTGCGCTATGCTGCGCTCCTGCTTCAGCCCCTGCGCTAAGTTTAGCGCATCAAACAGTGCACTAGCACTGACCATGCCGTGCCGGTAGAGTTCCGGTAGGCCGATTCCCCTACTGAGGCGGATACCGGTACTTATACCGGTGGGCAATGGTCTGGCCTCAATGCTGCGAGGCCAGGCCAGACCCTGAACCGTCCAGATGGACGTACGGCGAGCTACGACCATTGCTAGTCCCGTTGAGGCGAAGGGAAGCGATTGCCATGGACATCACCGGCCCGTTCCCCAAGCACAAGACTGGAGTGGATGGGATTCTCACGGTGGTCGACCGACTCACCAAGTTCGCCATGTTTTTGCCTTGTCGCTATCATGCCAAGGCACCGGAGTTGGCCGAGGTTTTGTACGCTGGTTGGATTCGCACCAAGGTTACCCCAAGGAGATCGTCTGCGACCGCGACACTCGGTTCATGTCCGATTTTTGGTTGGCGCTCATCAAGCGATGGGGCTCATCTCTCAAGCCCAGTTCAGCTCGCCACSCTCAGACCGATGGCCAGACGGAGAGGGCGCATCAGGCCGCACAGGTTCTCCTTCGCACTCTCATCCGCCCCGACCAGAAAGACTGGGTTGAGCAACTGCCGGATGTCGAGTTGGCCTACAACTCTTCCATCCACCCGGCTATTGGGATATCGCCGCTCGAGTTCGAGCACGGCTTGCCGGTCACGTCACCGTTGGACACGATTACTCCACGCACGGCCGAGAGCAACGACCATATTATTTTCTGGGTTTCAGCAGCGGAATTCAGCCTTGAACAAGACGTCTCTCGCAAGCTCCTCCCGAAATGGATGGGGCCTTGGCCGATCAAAGAGCCCGCTGGGGACGCACCCGAAGGACCCTCCTTCACGATTCAGGTGCCTAGCCACTTGCCTGT